TTTTGCCCTTCCTGGGGCAGCCCTGGTGACGTCATGCTCCTGAAATCAGTATAAATTTCTCCCAATAGAAGGGGTATCGTATTTTCATGCGAAGCTTCAATGGAAACTCAATGCAAAGAAACCAAAACCGCCATACCTGAACTTTCTTGCGACCTTCCGCCTCTTCAACTGCTCGTTATAAATCGATCAAAATCACTACCAGAGATGAACTTACAATCTTCAATCGTTGATGTTCCTCATCGATTATGTCTCCATTCAACGCCTCCGATTTACAGAGGATTTTCGAAACGATTGACAGAAATGGCGACGGCTTCGTGAGCATCGAGGAGCTTCATTGGCTTCTTAATCGAACAGGCGTCGATTTCATTTCGGATGATCTCGAATCGTTAATAGGTAAATCGATGATTGATTTTGATGAATTCTTGTCTCTGTATGAATCGATTTCGGAAATAAACAGAGGAGGAGAGGAGATTGAGAGCGATCTTTTGAATGCATTCCAAGTGTTCGACGAAAATCGCGATGGTTTTATTTCGTGCGATGAGCTTCACAATGTGTTGGTTAGGTTAGAGCTTTGGGATGATCGACGCTGTGTGCGTGATTGTAGGCGCATGATTGGCGCGTTCGATGTCGATTTGGATGGGCGGCTTGATTTTGAGGAATTCAAGAACATGATGAACTACTCTTCTAATTCTTCGTTTTAGATTGATGATTTTAGTGAGTTTGATTCTTGTTCGTGTTGATTTTGAGTTGATTTGTTGTTTGTTAGATTACAAAAACTCGTATTTTTCTATCTTCTTTTCTCAATTTCATTCCCTCCCTGACTTCTCATTTTATGTCGAATTAGTTTTAAGTTTTTAAATTTGTATATAAATTAGTTAATGAATATATCAAAACTTTTAGCCTTAACAAGGGAGAGAATTAATGGATATATTTATTTTAAGAACTAATAAATGTTTAAAATTCCTTAAAATTCATAAATTCTTAATTAGCTAACCGTCCACTTTTGAGATGGTGATTCAAGTTTTATTCATTAAGTTAATGTAACGATCTAAGTTCACCGCTAGTCAATATTGTTCTCTTTGAATTTTTCCTTTCGTGTTCTCCTCAAGGTTTTTACACTTTGGTGTTTTGTTCTCCTCCTCAACCAATGTAGGATCTCATAGCTAATCTCGAATTAGCTGTAACTTCTTAAATTATCATTCATCTGCTTCTCACTTTTGGTGAATATCTGAGACATTGAGCAATATCTAGAAAAACATTTAGGGAATCAATCTGATTCTACTTCTGTTCATTCTGTTGTGAGATCTCACGTCCGTTGTAGAGGAGAACAAAACATTTCTTCTAGAGGTGTGAAAACTTTTTCCTAATAGCCACGTTTTAAAACCTTGAGAGGCTGACGACGATATGTAACTGGCGGGTTGTTACAAAAATAAAAAAGGATGCCAAAGAATACAGATAAGGATCCCAAAGAATAGTGTGTCGCTTTTTCAAAAGCGGTGGTATGATTGTCGAGCCTTCTCGTTTGGATAACAGTGTTCGAACTTTACTTGTTGTTTCTCACTAAGCAAAGAATACCGTGCGTCTTATTTGTCAAAAGCGGTGGTATGATTATCGAGCCTTCTTGTTTTGCCCATGGGCCTATTAGGTAGGATAACTGTGTTCGAGCTTTACCTGCTGTTTCTCACGAAGAATTCCGTTTCGACCCGAAACCATAAACTTGTGATAAAAGAAAAGAAATATAAGCTATTGAGTTCAACAAACTTATGATAAAATAAAATAAATAACAATAATAAATATAGGCCGCAGCATCATCTTCCTCTTCTTCATTCGATAGCATCTCCTTCCTCTCCTTCAATCCACAGCCGGTGAAGCCCTCCTCCCGGTAACAACGACGGATGTCTCATCGGCAAGTGGTCGGTGGAGCGTCTCACTCCGGCTGCACCAATGTGCAGCAAGCAATGACAGCAACAAAGCGGTTTGTTTTGATAAGCTTGGTTGATTTTGGAACGATTTGAAACTAATCGAACAAGCATATTCAAAGATTTTAAGTATATAAAAGTGAGGTATGTAGAGCCTGTGTATCATATTTATATTTGAAAGTGATGTACACCTCGAGAACCGAACCATAAAAGCAATGCATGTCTAGACGGTTCGGTTTATATAAAAGTGATGTACATAGAACTTTGTATACCGAAGTGATAGACCTCCCGATAATGGAAACCAAAACTAAATTTTAGGCTCGACTATTAGTCCAGTCATAATTTTATGGAGAATCTTCAACTAATTTTAAACATTTTTTATAATATTTTCATTGAGATTTTAAATAAAATATCATAAATTTCTCGATAATTTTTTATCATCTTTTGCATGTGTATAGTATCGAGTTTAGTCGCACAACTTTTTAAAAAAAAAACTTTAAATTTTAGAAAACAATTATGGGTAACAATTGTTATATTTTAATTAAATATTTAGATCGATAAAAACCAATTTTTTATAAGTATATTAAAAAAAAATAACAATTTCTAAGTATATTTAATATAATTTTCTGGAATGATTTTTGTAAAAATCTAAATTAATTTAAAGTTATGTTTTAAATTAATGGTGATTTTATGTATCATTTTTTTAATATATATATATATATGATCATCTAAAATCATTAAAAAAAAAATTACAATAGACATATTTTAAATTATTAATTTTTATATTGAAAATTTGATTTTACCTAACATTATACATTTTAACAAATTATTTCAAACATAAAATTAATCCCATTATTTTCTTTCAAGTTTTTAAATTATATATATAATGGGTATATAGCAAATATTAAAAATATCTAAATTTCTATTTTACAAAAATATTACAGACTTTTTTATAAATAAAATTATAAAAATTAAAAAAAAGTTATTTTTTAATAATAATTAATATCGACATTGAACCCTCTATTTAGGAATATATCGATATATTAACGAATATTTCAATTCTTTCTGTCTTTTGAGAGTTGGTGCCTCCGACTCAATAGAGAAATCTTTTAGGAAAATATCAACCAAAATCAATTTTTTATAAACACTTTCAATAATTAATAAATAAATAAATAACGTAAATTATATTTCAAGTTTTTTTTTAGTGATTTTATATTAATTGAAAATCTTCCAAATATAAATATTAAAATATGAAAGTGTTTTTATTGACAATTTTTATTTTATAAAAACAAAATTAAAATTAAAAAAAAAAAAACTCAAATTAGAAGTTAATTAAATTAAAACATATTTGAAATATATATTTATTGAAAATATAAGATTTTTATTTTAATATTTATAAAATTTATGATTGGGGCCCACCCGACCGAAAAGTAAGACAATTTTATAATTAAATACGTGTCGGCCAATGAAAGCCGCGCCGACATTTGGGGGTAATCTTGGTAGAAAAGAAAAGGGCAAATGTGTCATAAATAATAATAATAATAATAAAAGTCAAACTAAATTAATTTCGGTCAATTTGCCACGTGTGAACGTGGATGAAATCTGCTCCTATCTCTTACAACTTCCTTTAAATGCTTTTAATAAATTTTATTTTTTGGTGCATCAAAATTAATTTTATGAAATAATTTCTCGATCTTCAAGTAGAAAACGTTTCATTAATATTGAATAGCTTCTTTCAAAAGTGTTTCCGCTTCTTTAGTGAATGTCTTAATGGAAAATATTATTTCTTGAAATTGAGGCTTATTTGTTTTTACGTAAGCACGTAACTCAACCAGAAATTTCTTTACTTGTCCAAGTCTAATAAATCAAGATAACTTTTTGTCTCGGTCTAAATAGTCTGTTTCGGTATAAATAGTTATTATCTGTGTTTTCTGCTGTGAGATAAACCAATTTGGATAAATAGTCTGTTTCGGTATAAATAGTCATTAGCAGTCTAAATAGTCTGTTTCGGTATAAATAGTTATTATCTGTGTTTTCTGCTGTGAGATAAACCAATTTGGATAAATAGTCTGTTTCGGTATAAATAGTCTGTTTCGGTATAAATAGTTATTATCTGTGTTTTCTGCTGTGAGATAAACCAATTTGGATAAATAGTCTGTTTCGGTATAAATAGTCATTAGCAGTTTTTCTGCTGTGAGATCGACCTCTTTTTCTGCTATTAGATCAACCAATTTGAATTACAATTTGGATTATTTGAGCAACTCAAGTAATGGTTGATCTCTGGTCTTTATCAAGATCGAATTAAGCCATTTTCACGTAATCGTTGATCTCTAGTCTTTATTTTTCACGTAATCGTTGATCTCTGGTCTTTATCAAGTCGACAAAATTAAACCAATTCCTTTTTTTTTATTTGTCGAGTACTTATTTTATGGCTTTAATTTGAGCGACAAACCCTACTTTAGAGCGACTATGTTATGTTATTTAAAATTATAATAAATAAAAATAAAAAATAAAAAACATCAAAATTAAATTTATTTATTGAAATTTACGCTTAAAGCCACCAACTAAAATAGTATTTTAATTTATAACTTTTTATTAAATTTAAAAAAAAAAATTGTTAGTTTTAGAATCATATCTATTATTATTTTAGGTAAATAGAAAAAATATCTATTTTATATCTCGGTTTAATAAATAAAATAATTGTCCTTATCTAATTATCTAATTTTCTATCACTAGAGTAAAAATATTCAACCTATACAAACATATCAAATTATGTAAGTTACTAAAATAAACTTCAAATTTGAATAAATATGTACATAAAATTATAATATTCATGTATAATAAAATAGAAAGAGCAATTAGGCAAAAGCCAGGAACGAGGCGAGGACAAAGATGAAGAATATATTCATCATCCCCTTCTCCCTTTATCTCACGAAAAAAAAAAAAAAAGGATCATATCCGCTCACTCTCTCATTCCTTGTCCTACTAGAGGTAGATTTCTCATCTGGTAGGAAAAAATAGACACCACTAGCTTCATTCCTAACCACCGTTATATGATGAACAAAAACGACGAAAAACTCATAGCCAAACAAGCATATTTATATCGATTGGATTACGTTCTAGTTTTTGTTTAACAAGATACATTCGAGGTATTATTGGAGTGCATGCTCATCGTAATCTAAGTAACAAAACAGTTCTTGCAAGCACACAAAACAAATCACAATGGCTATAAGATCTACTTGAGTTTTATTTCACAGAACAATCCTTACAAGCAGCAGTATTTACCTGTTTAGACATGTATGCTTCGTAGATTTCCACGACAAGCCGTGGATCCTTCTCGACGAGCTCCATGTACTCCTCCCTCTTGGTAAGCTTGTCCATGTTGTCGATAATCACCGACAGAGCTGCATCGATCATATGCTTGCCATTGTGCTGGTGTGCAAAGGTGTAGTTCATGATTGAGTTGTCCCAGTTCAGTTTTGATATTAGGAACTTCTCGCAATGTGACTTCAGATGCTTCACCTGATACTTCTCAGCCAAAACTAAAAGGTCATAAGCCATTTGCTCATCAAGACAGGCTTCTGCTGTGTACAAATAATTGACAAAGGCGCGGAGGGCATCGAATGAAACGTCGCTGATCTTTATGGTACCACTACGACTTTCTTCCATTTCATTCTCAAGCATAGCTTTGAAAACGGGCGAGCGACTCACCTGAAACAAACATGAAAATGAATGTTTATTTGTGATTAGAAAAGGAAAAGGATGGATGGCAGACTCCTGTCTATAATAAAACAATACAATAGACCAGAAAACCCCGGTGGCTATGCAAATGTATGTGGAACTCAGATGAAATTGTATCCAATCTCGTATTTGCATGAAAAAGAGAGAAGAGGTTTCTCATCTCTCCATTAGAATGAATTGGAGCATAGAATATCATATAGAGAATGACATCTGCATAGGTTATTTGAGTCAAAGATACCACTACGATGTAAAACCAGTTCTTTGGGGGTGAAAGGAGGAATTTGGTTCATGGAATTAATAAACCCCATTTATAAATTTTAAGTTGCTAATGCAATAATGTTCATGGGGGATAAAGAAAATAGATTTGTGAGATCCCACGTCGGTTGGAGAAGAAAACGAAACATTCTTTATAAGGGTGTGGAAACCTCTTCCTAGAGATGCGTTTATAGAAACGTGAGGCTGATGGCGATACGTAACTAGTCAAAGTGAACAATATCTGCCAGCAGTGGGCTTGAGATTTTACAAATGGTGTCAGAGCTAGACACAGGGCGGTGTGCCAGCGAAGACGCTAGACCCCCAAAGGGAGTAAATTGTGAGATCCCAAATCGGTTGAAGAGGGGAACGAAACATTGCTAAGGGTGTAGAAACCTCTCCCTAGCAGACGCGTTATAAAACCGTGAGGTTGACCGCAATACGTAACGGACTAAAGTGGATAATATCTACAAGCGATGGATTTGAGCTCTTACTCTAAGCAGAAGGAACATGGAAATAAAACAAGTCATTTCCAAAATTTTACTAAACTAATCCTGAAAGTTAAAATAATGTAATATGCAGCACAGACGTGAAAGTCATGTTCAGAGATGCACACGGTTAAGCACGTTAGTAGCCTGTCATCTCAATGCTCCTATCCAATGAAATAAAAATGTTCCTGAGAAAATTTATTCTCAAAAAGTTGGAATCATTTACGTCAAAGGAAGTATAATTGCCTTCCTTCGAAGATAATGGTTTACATGATGAATTTCAGAGGGTAGCAAACATAATATAAAAGACGAAATGAAAGGAAGAAAGAATATAAGATTTAATATGCAATTACTTTGCCTGGAAAAATAACCTCAGCCTCGGAAGCTGACAAGTATCAGTTTGTCATTCTAGATCCCAAAAAAACATACAGAACTTTAGAAAATATCACAAGTAGCAGCTGAGTTGAACGTGCCCACGATGACAAAATATTCATAATTCAATGCAATTTCAAAAATTATATTCTGTATCAAGTATCTCTTTGTTGAATTGTTTTAAGGCTTTTGGTTCTTGGAAAACAAACATAGTCTTCAGGTAACATGGAAAGTACATTTTTTGCTAAGCATCAGTTATAAACTCATACGATCTATGTTCTCTAAAAAAAAAAAAATAAGACCCCGCTTGATAATCATTTGGTTTTTTATTTTAAGAAATTAAGTTTAGGAACACTACTTCCACCCATAAGTTTCTACGTTTTATTATCCACTTTTCGCTATTATTTTAAAAGAACTCATTCAAGTTTTGAAAACAAAATAAAATAGTTACCAGAAACTTGTTTTTGTTTTTAGAATTTGAGTAGGAACTCAAGTAAAGGTGAAAACCATAATTGAAAATTTTGGAGAAAACAAACATAAATTTCAAAAATCAAAAACTAAAAACTAAACTGTTATCAAACGGAGCCTTATTTATTAGATTTTGAATTTTTAAAATTAAGCCTATAAACACTATCTCCACTAATGGATTTCGTTGTTTGTTTGTTATCCCCTTTCTAAGAGTATTTTCAAAATCGAAGACAAATATTGAAAACTATAAGAAGTAGTTTTTAAAATTTTGTTTTTGTATTTGAAAATTGGTTATAAATTCAAATGTTTTCTAAAGAAAAATACAAAGGATTGTAAAGCAATTGTAAGAAAACGAGCACATTTTTAAAAGCCAAATGGTTATCCTAAATAAGAAACAATTACAATTACAAACTACACAGCAGACATCAATCCTAGAAAAAGGGAGAAAAAATAGCAACATCTTTAGGGACTTTTTGCCAAAACCTCTATAGAGGAAAATAAATACTCCATGTCAATAACAACACGAAATAATCATATGTTGGGACCGAGGGAGCAATGTCTAAATCCCCTATAAAGAAAAGCAAACAGCTAATGAGATTTGCTGGAGAAATTACCCTGGATATTTCTTTGATCAACCAAACTACCCAAAAAAACTTGACACTTGAAGTTGATAAAAGATGAGTTAAATTAAGAGAGGAGTGTATTGCTATCACCTAATGGTCAACCTTATTAGGCTAAAAGAAACAGTAAAGACATCAAAAAATTTGAACAATAACAGAATTCACAGATCACCAAACAACCTATTTTCTTTATTTGGCCAATACACCAGATGAGATAAGTAGAAACTAAATCAAACCGCAAAAGAAAATTTTTCAAAGATTCACATGAGATTCCCTCGAAGCAAGACTGGGATCACACCTATTGTCACTTAACGCATATTAGCTTTCAGTGATCAAATGCCAAAGAAACTCAAATTATAATTTAAAAAAAAAAAAAAAAAAAGGAGCCGATCTCGACAACTAATTTCTTATTGAAGCAATTTTGCTTTGACATGGTTAAGAACACCCAAGCCAGGACCCAAGAAAGGGCTACAAACAAACATTGCTAACCAGAGCAGAGGGTGACAAAGAAAGGACTGCAATTATTTAGAATAAGGGATAAAGGATAGTTGTAAAAATTTGGTTACAAAAAGCCAAACAAAGACATTGATCCGAGCCAAGTACACCAAAAGCCTTACAAATCGTCCCAAATTGAGCCTGCAAGCTAAACTCACAGAAGATGCTCCAAACTGGTTGAACCAAAGTCAATCTCCCTCTTATGAACACACAGATTCGACCCCATTTAAATCCTCGTGTTTACTTTTTTTTTACCAAATACATCAAAGTGATTTCCTAAAATTCATAACACTAGCCATGCCCGAGTAAGAGAGAAAAAAAAAAAAAAAATAGCACCATCTATGCATCATCGCTTATCTGCCATCACCTATTTCTCAACCATATTCTCGTTTCTTTGATTGTAGGCTCCTCCAAGATCTTTTGTTCCCCGTTCAGCCATCAAGGATATTTAGCTATTTGATTATGGCCAACTCTTCAGTTTCCCTTCAAGTTCCTTGACTAGAAATACTGAATTGGATGCCTCTCAGATCACCCACAAGTATTGATTTTCAATAAGGATAGAAAACTGGATTTTCTTAGACCTATTAGATCATTAACTTGAAGGAAGCTGGGCACCTTTGCTATCCCTCAATATTGCTGTCGGAAAGGTTTGCAAGAGATGTTCTAGATCTCTACAGGGATCACAATTTAGAATCAGGGTTCAAGATGGTAAATATTTCCCTCAAAGCAAATAGAGAGGTCCATCCTCAGCTTCGAAATAAATTTATTCAAAATTTCAGATTCCATGAAGTAGATTGCATTTGAACGTATGGGTTGTATCCAATAGTCAAATGAGATGCTAGAACACTTGAACAGATTTGAAAAGCCAGCCACAAGATCCCTCGATCAAGTGTCTTTCCAAGGCATGATTCTTCCACCATTACACACATTTAGGTCACCGAAGGATTGATTTAAGATCTGAGAACTTCAATAGCAAGCTGTCTCCACCACTGAAATGCTCAATCTATTAAAATCGAACCCTTACTTACTAGGAATGTTAAAAATGGCTTCCTAGAAAATCCCAAAAGGCATTTACCCGTGACAAGCATGTTCTTTCTCCTTAGATTTCCACATCCAAAGCCACTGGCCACTAGCTTCATTGCCATAAAAGTTGTAGCCCAATCAGCCAAGTGGTCTACTCCCTTTAATTCCACCCCTTTCAAAAGAAGTATCCATTTCTTCAACATCTAACCTAATCCACAATCTCATGAACAATCAAATAGATTGTAGGATAAACAAGCAGAAGAAATCAACTAGAGTCAAGCAAGTGTTAAAAGTGTAGTCTCTTCAATATGTATAAAAGTATATTATGCAACCTTGTTCCAGAACTTCAAATGATTATGCATTTGAAAGTTAAATATCTTACTCTTAGTTCCTAAGAAACAAGTAATCGTTTAATACTACACAACTCAAAATCATACTCAAGGAATCAAAACAAAACCACAAAATAGTGTAATATTCGAGTAAACTATAAAATTCGTACTAACCAAGACAGCTTTATGAGCGGGAAGTGGCACAGCATATCCCTCAGCGCCATCGCCGGAGGCGATCAAAACAACATCAGTAAAGCAAGGAGCATTCGACCGATTATGAAGATGATCGAGAGGGGACCAAAACCTGAGGAAAGCAACTTTAGCTTTCAAGTCTTCGATCTCACGCTTGAGCTCTTCCTCAGTCTCATTAGCTTCCTCGTAGCACTCCTTGCAGGTTCCGGCGTCGCGTGACCTGTAATCCTCCAGACACGACAAGCACTTCATCATTTCGTTATCGGACTCACTCTCTGCGTCCGAAATGGCTCTGGACGACACGCACCGGCGGCGATGCATCGGAAAGTTCGTCGTCGGTGCTGCAATTCAGTGAAAGATTCTCGTTCGTTCGTTCGATTCAACGGAAAAGGTTTGAAAGAGAGTGACGACGATCGATGAAAGATTACTTTTTGAACGCCGATCAATTTCTGTTCTGAAGAACAAAATAATTTATTTATTTAATTTTTTAATTTTTTTTTTCAAACTGGAATTAATGAGTAGCCAATGTGGTCCACGTCTGTATTTTGGCGTATTAGGGCAATTTTAAAAACTCCACTGAACTCGAGGGCATTTTTGGAATATTAATAAATAAGAAAGGGTATTTTCGGAAAATGACAATTGAATTTATATCTATTTAGCGTCTAATTTTTTTTAAACTATTTAATTTAATACATCTTAAACCCTAAACCCTATATTTTATAGTTCTTTTACTTTTAATTAATTCTTTTTTAATATTACTTTAAATTATTTTAATAAAAAAAAAATTTAATTCCTTCTTGAACCAACTCGAAATTTTGAGTTGGTGAATCGAGTAACCCGAACATTCACAACCCAACTCGACCTCTATTTTGAATTGGGTTGTGTTGGGTTGTGTTATCGAGTTGTTCTTTTTTCTTAATTATTAAAAAACATCATATTTATCTGTAATATTATGTTAATAACTAAAATATCGTAATGTTCAAATATCATATATTTATTAATCATAATGCATCACTGACATTTGTGAAAACGTTAAATATTTTTAATTTTTTTAAAATATGGTAGAGATAGGTTGTAACCCTATTTTTTTTCCCGAGTTGATCGTATAAAATGTCAACCCATAAATTGAATCAAAATTTTAATTCAACCCAAATCGAAAAAATTAACGTAAATAAATCTTCGTAGTTTGAGTTGATCAGATTATCGGGTCTTACGACCACCTCTGCCTGAAAGTACGTTAAAAAGGGTAAACTTAGTCTTTGCTAATGAAATTGAAAACTTTGTGATGTCCCACGTTGGTCGGGGAGGAGAACAAAATATCATTTACAAGGGTGTGGAAACCTTCCCCTAACAAACATGTTTTAAAGCCTTGAGTGAAAGCCTGAAATGGAAAGCCCAAAAAGGACAATATCCGCTAGCGGTGGATCTAGATCGTTACAAATGGTATCAGAGCCAGGCACCAGATGAGGATTGCCAGTAAGAACGCTGGGCCCCAAACGGGGGTGGATTTGGTGGCAGTCCCACATCGATTGGAGGAAGGAAAGAGTGTCAGTGAGGACGCTGGCCCTGAAAGAGGGTGGATTGTGATGTCCTACATTGGTTGGGGAGCTAATAGATATGATGACGACTCTATGAACGATACTAATATATTGTGAACGAGATTAGATTAGCTTTATATTAACTCGAGAAAAGTTGAATGCACTAATTTAACCGAGGTGTGTTATTAAAATTTTTCTTCGTCATTGTTAGTTTTTACGTATGGTTTGTGTTTTTATATGAACGTTTAATGTTAGAATACAAAAACTTATAATTTACGAAGTTTTTTCTATTTACAACGAAGACATTGCTTATCATTTTAGAGCTATACCTCACATCTCCGAGACAAAACGCCTCAACCCCACCTCAAATTTTTTGAAACATTGGTCATGACTACGTCCGAGTGGTAGTTGCTCGAGAATGAAGCTCGTTCACGTATTTGCTACTCATTGCAGGTTGTGCAAGCATTGGAAATGACACGAGTCGTTGAGCGCGTCACGAGCTAGGGAATCATCAACGTTGGTGGTTGTTGCACTAGATCACCAATGAAAACCGTCACATACTTAAAAAAAATTCGATCTTTTTAAAAATTACAAAAGTACCTTTAAATTTTTTTTAAAAAATTCAAAAATAATCTTACCCGTCCCTATCATGTTTTAAAAAAATTTAAAAAAAAAATACAAAAGTAATATTAAAAAGTTTGAAGATAGATGTCAATAGACAATTTTTGTCCATATATTGAATCAAGCTAAAAAGCGCCGTTTGATGACCCTGCCGTAGTATTAGGTCGTTGGTCAGGTAAAGGCTAACCAAGCAATGACGTGTAGCTGATGTTTTCGAATGATGAACCATACTGGGGCCGAGACACGGCTCGGACTTCCACGAGGGGCAGCATTGGGGAATCTTCCTCGTGTCAGCGGAATAGAGTAGCTACCGTTGTTTGGTGTCCCAAATTTGTACCGAGTTGTTAGTTTTAAAATTTAAAAGGTATTTTTTAAACCTAAAATTTTTTAAAATTTTTTTTAAAAATTGAATGATATTAATATATATATATATATATATATATATATATTTTTTTTTAAGGCGAAACATATTTGTGAAATATTATTAAAATTTAAAGATATTTTAGAATAAAATATAAAAATAAGTGATATTTTTATTAATTTTAGTTTTGATAAAAATAATATTTAATAGTTTTATTATTTATTTTTGAGGTGAACATTAATGGTAAGTAAACTGCACATCCAAACCGCGTAGTAACCGGTCCGGTCTGAAAAATAAACCGCTTCGTCGGCACAAAACGGCTGACAGTCTCAGATTTTTTTTGAAAAAAGGGGACCAAGATAGAACCGCTGGTTTAACCAAAAGAGACTTCATCTACTGCTCTCCCGCCTCTTGGATTCGGAGTTTCCCTGTCAGCTGCATCTTCTCTTCGCCACATTTCCTTTGCTCAAGTATGATTCTCTCTCTCTCTCTCTTGTTAATCTTTATTCTGTTCATTCTTTTTCAAATTCATTTCTTGTTGTCTGTCTGTTTGGTTTGCTGAGAAATTCGTGCTGAGAAACGAAGAAGAATGGAGTGTTTTCGAGTTTTGTAGTTTCATTGTTCAGAATTTTGTTTTGGAGCCACTTGATTAGTTTGAATTAGCTGATTATTTGTTGAATATGTCGAACTTGAGGTTTTTCCTAGACGGGAAGTTGCAGAGAGAATTATAGTGCTAGTGGTGTGAATATTTTTGGTTTTGTGTTCTTCTTGTGAAATGGAATTGATTTCTTCTAGTGAACTAAGTGTGCTTTTCGGTTCTTATAATTAGTTTTCGAAGCTTGGGAGTGTGGATTCCACGGGAATTTTCAGAATCTGGTAACACATGCGACCATCGGAACCCTAATTCTATCCGGAATTTAGGGTTTTTTTTTTTCGTGCCGGACAGATGATTATTGAAAATAGGAAAAGCAATGGGGATTTCACGGGACGTGCTTTGGAGGTCAAGTTCGTGAAGAGCGAGGCAGGGGAAAATGGAATCGGGATGGGGATTTTGAATGTTGTAACTGAAGGGGTTCCAGGAACTAGCGATGGTTTTCGAACTTACAAGAGGCGGAAGCAGACTAAGTTGACTTGTGGGAGCGAATGCAAAGGAAATGGCAAGACTCATGTAGAAGCTAGTGGTCAATTTGTGGTCCGTATTTCTCTCCCTCTTTCAATCTATTACAAATTCAATTAATTATGTGCGCCTGTTCCATTTTACTCCAAATTAGTTTACCCTTGTATTCTTCTTGGCAGTTTTTTGTTGGATTTGAACTTAGGCCACGTACTTGTATTAAAGACTGTAAGTTTTATGAGATGTAATATATACAAATCGTGTTAAATTCATAAAAGGATCAGGAAAAGCCAGAACTTGAAATTTTGGATTCTACACAGAATTTAACCTTTGAACACTGTATAAAACGTAAGAACATCTACCTTAAGTTGCTTTAAGTGCATATGTTCTTAAGGTAAAATAATGGTGGTTAGGACAAGCTGTTGATCTGTTTTCGAATTTGACCTTATCATACTGCCCCATACTAGGTGAGGTTCTTAAGGTAAAATAATGGTGGTTAGGAAAAGCTGTGGATCTGTTTTCGAATTTGACATTATCATACTGCTCCATACTAGGTGAAAAACTTGTAGGTGAACTGACTTTTTTTGTCGGATGGTAGGAGACTTTGGAATGTAGAGATGCTTCAACCAGATTTAGTGTGATGAAACCCTTAAAGATTCATGATATTCTTTTGCTTTAGGAATTTGGAAGAATTAATGCTTTTTATTGTTTTTTGGGGTAAAAGAAATGGTTAAGTTGTTATCTAATTTTCAAGTAATTATATTTGCAAGCTATGGAGGCCTTAACCTTCTGTTTTTGTAGGTCTTCGGTGGTCCTTATTTTAATTTTGCCTTGTTATGATTTTTTAAAAATAAATAATCCCTCAGTTCAGCGATACAATGCTGCTGCGTTGTGTTATCCGTTGATTATTTGATACTAATTGCAATTTACAAAGTGATTTTGGAACAATGTTCTTAATGGAAATGTGTACTTGAAAAATGTCTCGAAATTGTTGATGGTTTGGCTGGCAGTCATCAAAGAGAAAATGATTTGGCTGGCAGCATCAAAGAGAAAACGTATTATAGGATTGTGCAACTTTGGTTCTCTTGGGTATTAATTATATAGTTGGAAACCAGTTGGGGTTTTTCTTTGGAGAGAAACTCTCTGGTATTGAGTTTACTCGAGACAGATCAAGTTGTTTGGCATTAGACTAGGCATGTCAAGCTCATTGTAGTTTCTTTTTCTTTAGAATTTTTACGTTGGTGAAATTTTTGCATAAGTTTCTCTTTGCAGATATCTTAACAAAGTGAAAAGTTCATATTTATGATGCTTAACTCATGTTTTTTCTTTTGTAGTATTTTAAAGAATAACTTCTCGTAGTTTTTCTTTCAACTTATGTGAATGTATTTTATCACCTGGTATTCTTGAGATGACTTACATTTCTTTCTTGTTTGTCTGAAAAGCTAAGGGTCTATTTAGTATCTTATCAAGATGCAATATTTTATTTTCAGATTCAGAATCATTGAGTCATATGAACTATGTGAACTTTTGTTCGGTGGGTTTACTTCTGAAAGTAATATCTGGATTCTATGTCTTAGAAAGTAGAAATTTTGAAAACAATATTCTCATATTTTTAGTGCTGTCAGATTCGAAATCTGCTACTCAAAATAATGTAAACATGGAATAAACTCCATCTGTCATTAAATCCCTTATTTTCAATGCCTTTCTTGTCCTCGTGGCTAAGTGTCAAGTGTAGTATCTGTATAAATCCCTCATTTTCAAATTTATGCTTTTTGGTCCCTAACCAAATGCACCCTAATCTAGGAATAAAGTTTAATTTTTTTTTCTTGCTTGATGGTGTTT